AAATAACCAGATTTTTTCAGTTTTGTTATCGATCAGATAAAACTTTATCGATCATTAGACGCGCTAACGAACGCTGTGGGATGTTATTATCGTTGTCTGGGCGACCGCAGTGTTTTACAAAATGTGGCAACGTTCAGCCAATCATGTAGCGTAACGTCACAGGTATGAAGCAGAACCGAGCAGATCTGGTAGCTACTGCGGAACGTCTTCTAGAAACGCCTCCTCTGATAATTCCTGGTTCGTCTCCTTCCCGTTCGCAGCCGAGTCAGTGGATGGGGCGGCGCCGTGCGAGCCCAGCTGCCCGGTCCTGGAGAGCGACTTCCTGCTGAACGGAGAGCTGGAGTTCGGGTTGTCGGAGATGGAGGGACTGGACAGAGACGTAGGTGGGTGGCGCCCCCTGCAGATGGACTCAGGTCTGTCAGTTCAAAGCTGACGATGTTTGTGCTTTAAGGAGTAACGGTTTTCTCTCTGAGCGCGGAGGACAACGAGCCCTCGGCTCCTACGGCCGGCGCCTTCCCCGCCTTGCTGTCCTGTAAAGGCTGCGGCCTGCTGCTGGGGGACACTCCTCTGGGGGCCGGACTGGGCCTCGGTAACGGACCTTTCTGGTTTCCCCTATGCATCACTCTACACTTCCCTCTCAACCATCTTCCGCTGTTCCTTCTCCAGGTGTGGGCTTGGACCTGGGGACGGAGCTCTACTGTCTCAGCTGCGATGAGAAGCAGCAGAACTCCGATTCCACCCCCTCCCCTCAGGAGGACCCCTCTCATCCCTCCACCAGGAAGAAGAAACCCGTCAGTAAAGACGGCGTCCCCCCCAAGCTGTTCTCCTGCTCTCTGTGCACCTTCGCCTCGTGCTACTCCAACCACCTGAAGCGCCACATGAGGATCCACGACGGCCAGAAGCCGTACTGCTGCCCCGTCTGCCCCTACGCATCCGCCCAGCTGGTCAACCTGCAGCGCCACCTCCGCACCCACACCGGGGAGAAACCCTACCGCTGCCCGCAGTGCAGCTACGCCTGCAGTTCCCTGGGCAACCTGCGGAGGCACCAGCGCATGCACACTCAGGAGAAGTGTGACGTTTTTATTTCTGATAAAATAATCTGATCTCATTAGATTTAACGTAAATAACTTCTGAACTTACGTAATGTAAATAAATATAACATATATCTAAAACTCTTTCACGCTTCTTTAATATAGTAGCACTTTTGTTTTTTTGTTACAAAGGTAATAAGGTCTTGTCCTGTAAGTATTTCACTGTTACACCTATAAAAGGTAAATTGCTCCAATAGCTCCTGTCGTGTTTGCTGCGGTCGGAGGTTATTTAGAAAGAACAGCGGTCTGAGCTGCGCCTCCATGTTGCGGAGTTTCTCATATCTCTGACGGAGCAGAAAGCAGAGAAAGAGGAAGAGGAAATGGTTGGTTGGTGGAGCTAAATGTGAACCTCTGCTGACCTGATGGATGCTGAGGGGAACGCCTCCATCAGCAGCCACTGGATCACATCCTAAACCGCTTTCTCTCTCTGTGCTCCTCAGAGCTCACCCTCAGGGTGTCCCAGGACTCCTCCTACCTGCGGACCCTGGGGGGCCTGGGCGCTCCCTCTGGGCCCCTCCCGGTGCTCCTCTTCCCCCTGTGCTGCCGGCTGTGCGGCCTCACCCTGGAGGAGGCTGACCTGGAGGGGGAGAAAGACGGAGGGGAGGTGGAGGCGGAGAGGGAGGGGGGACAGGTGAGAGCAAGATCTTTAATCTCTTGTATCCATAGCAACAGCAAACAGCCATAGTTCCCGCTCCTCCTCTTTCAGGTGTGCCGTCGCTGCAAAGACGGGCCCCCCAGGCGTGGGCGGAGGGGCTCCAAGCTCTACCGCTGCCCCCACTGCCCCTTCCTGTCCCACTACCCCAACCACCTGAGCCGCCACTCCCAAACCCACTGTGAGGTCAAAAAAGACTACTGTTAGTGTTTTAGAAACATAACCTTAGAATTTTTTTTGACTGTCTTTAAAATTTCTAGTCAAACAGTGTTTGCTGATGTATAACCTCCTCCACTTATTGTCATGGAAACAGGGAGGGGACACAGCCCCCTCCCCAACCCACCACAGTGGGTAGTTCCAGGCTACATCAACCACAGATGGAATTGAACTCAGACTCTGCACCACTGGCACCTTACAGTCACAGACAATCCCACTCTGCTATGACACCTGTCACACTTTGGACTTTTCTCCGGGCGCATTTATCTTTTTGTTTCTTCTTCTGCAGTTGTTGGAAAATTATGATAGTTTCCTCTGAGGGATCTGAACCCATGAGCTTCTAGTTTTAGAGTCAATGCTTTAACAAGCATGCCATACATCACATTCACTGTCACAGTTTAACCTCTTCTTGTAGCTGATTTATTTTTTTTTTAAATTTTCACCTTAAAAACCACATATTATGTATCAGGATTCTAAGTTTTTTAATATTCAATTCTCTGAGACTTCAAAGTAGAACCAGGAGTTGAACTCAGGATGCATTAAACTCTAAGCCAGCATCTCTTCTCTCTGAGCTACCAAGGCAGATGAACCACCTTCCTCTTAAAAGCTCTGACATACTTTAGATTAGAAACCCAGAATTGCATAAAATTCTTGATTTATACAATTCTGGGATAAATGTTTTTGATCCTATAACCTTCTGATCCAGGTCTGGTTAATTGGACCTCTGCACCACTAGACCCTCCACACTTTGATCTGTTCTGGTAACACATTCATCTCCTTCATGTCTAGATTAACTGTTGATAGATAAAGACTTTCAGCAGGAATCAGATTCAGGACCTTCATTGATAAGATTGCTGATGTGAACATTAACTCTTCTTGAAATATGTTTATATTATTAAACGAATCCTTCTGGTCTCCCTGAGGAATTGAACTCCAGACCCTCTGAGCTCCTTCTTACCTCCTTTCCTCTCTGAGCTATCCAGAGAGTGACTCCAGCATCTGAATCCATGACATCATCCATGTGACGACTGAACATTTCTCTTCCAAATCCTCATTTTCTCCAAAGCATCAGCTTCAGAACCCAGAGGTCCAAGCAGAGCTGGTTCTACAGCTGGTTCTGATGCTGATCCCACTGCTCCACAGCTTCTAGTTAGGTTGGATCTTCTGCTCTGGATTCACTCCACAAGCAGATGGTCAGACCAGAACATCTTCACCTTCAGAAGCAGAAAGATCTGATTCTAAACAGATTCAGCTTCATCATCAGAACCAGAACTGGATCCTTTCTTCATCTCTACATCTTAAACTAGGAAGGTCCAACACTGTCAGCAGTTCTGGTTCTGATCAGCTGGATTTTCTCTGCAGAGTCATTAAATACATGGAAATATCTGCTATTAGGTCAATTTATGATCAATTAAAACATTTATCTTCATCTGGTGGAAAAACAACTAAAAAGACATTTAGAAATAATGAATAAATATCTGAGGGAGGAGCAGCAGCATAAATACACATGGAGAAGAACCAGAACCAACAGGTTTCATTCAGAAAGCTGCAGCGACCCAAACAAACGACACATGATCCAAAGAGCTGCAACATCAGCAACGTTTAAAGTTCCTGTAGAACCGCTGCAGACCAACAACAGAACAACCTGAACAGATTTAAACTCAGAACCTGATAGACAGGAAGAACCTCACAGAACCACTGGGTCAGGGGTCCAGCCTAATACTCTGAGGACTAAGACAAATAAAAGCTCTAAAAGTATTTATCTCTATGTTCCTCAGGACTTCATGGTTTTCTGGTTCCCATAAATATTTATGATCAATAAAAGCCCCAAAGAAGCAGCCTTTCACTGGTTAATAAACAGCTCAGATTGATGGAGACCAGCAGCTGTGGTGTGAGATGCTGGTAGGTAAAGCATCCATGGACGCCACTTGGTGACGGCGCTCTATGTTAGCTTTACCTCCCAGCATCTTGTCCTCCAGCTGCTTCATGTTTATTCTGTCAAACTTGTCCTACAGGTGAGTTTTTCCTCCATTATAGAGCGTGATCAAAGCCCTGGCAGTGAATGGAGTCACAGTTCATGTCAGCTTTAGCAGCACTGGAGACCTTTTTGGACTCTGATGAAGTGAAACCATTCCTGGATTTAACAAAAACTGAAATAAATGAGGCAGAGTTTCCAGCTTATGTTCAGTTCAGGAAGTGCTTGATCTGTCCATGGTGCTGAAACACAGACTGTGGGTCAACTTCTTCCTACCTATTCCAGTGTTTTGACCGTTATCTCTAAGATTTACACAAAGGAGATTTATTACAGGTTCTCTACTTTTGGTAGAAATACAGATAAATAAAGTTAAATAAATATACAAAGTTAAACTAAACAAAAGGGAAAGTTTTCTTATCGGGATTTATTTGCGCCTACAGCTCTATTCTGCCCTCCTGTGGTCTCAGACTGTAATTACACACTAAAATCCTTCAATTGTGATGAATTATGTATGATAAAAAATATGAGCGATTGTTTGTTTACCAACAGTGTAGATCTATAGAAGCTGATATTTAGAGTTTGTGTGTAAAAAAACAGGGACAAAGATGTAAAGATTAACAGCAGAGCTTTAAAAAATTAAAAAATGGAGAAGATTCTTGTTAACATGATGGAGATGAAAAAGCAAAGTTAATGAATTTAATACTTGAACGTAATTCGAATAATTTTTATTTGTGTAAACACAAGAGATGAGAACATTGAGGAAGGATATTTTACTCAGAATAGTTCAGTTAATGTATCATGAACAAGAGAAAATGAATTAAACAAGAATTAATATTTTATTTTTACAGATTCTGTCCTGAACGTGGTCTCTATACTGCCCTCCCGTGGTATTAGGTTGTAATTACACTCTACAATTCTTCAGAATTTTAGAACAATGAATCATAATGATGGTAAAAAAGAAAATCTGAAGGATTGTTTGTGTAGCCAAAGATGGATGCTGTGGTTTAGCATCAGGGTGTAGATCTACAGATGCTGATAATCAGAGTTAAGCAGGGAGGGCTGATGAAGATCATCCTCAGAGCTAAAAACATCCTCCAGTGTCTCCACCTCCTGCTAGCGTCTGTTAGCATCGTTAGCTGCGCTCTGAGTCTCTGGGGGCTGTTTTTTCTTTAACTCTGTGAAACTGATTCTTACTCACATTGATAGAGAAAACATTGGAACGAGACCTGGAGACACATTTGAGAAAATGTTTGGAACTGGGAAGAAGTTAATCTGCTGATCTGAGTCTGGAAACCAGCTAGCTACAGCGCTACAAACTCATTGGATTCAGATCAGCGGGTTTATGCCCCGCCCCCTGGTGGCTACAAGTAGTTACTACAACTAAAATAAAGCTGGAATAAATATATCAGAGATGTGCTTCCTGTGGAGCCTTTCAAAGTAAAACACAAACAAACTCCGCTGCGGTTTGAACAAGTTTCATCTACATATGCAGCGAGGAAAACCAACAGTTTTAATAATTGCATTAATTAATGAAATATATATTTTTCACATTTTAAAACGATTAATCTGAACATTACATTACATTCTGTTTTAATATGAGCAGCAAAATCTAACTGCTGTGCTATAAACTATAGGATGCTTCTGTGTTTACTAGATTTATTGATGTTGTTCCTTCTTCTTAGTCGAGTTTCACTGGTTTAGTCAAGAGTTTTAACTGAAATATGTTTTACTTGGAGCTAAATGATTTTTGTTGATAAACTCTTATATTTTGAAAGAAAGTTGTGGTGAATTTAAGACTACACTCACAAGAATCCAGAGTGGAATAAAGGTTCCAACCACCGGGAGCAGGAACAAATCAAATCAAATGTAATGATAGAAACCTTAGTCAGTTAAATAACCTGCTGCTGTCATTCTGCACATCTCTGATGTTGCTGCTATTTTCAAATATCCATTACTGTAAAAATGTCCATAGCTGCATATTGGTTATTTATTCCCCAGTTTTATATTGTTAAAACACTTTACAGAATTGTATTGTTTATATTTTAACTCTTCCCTATTATGTTATTCTTAGACATTTTTCTAAGGTCCTCATTTGTGTGACCATTTTCAAAAATCTTTCTGCTGCTGTAAATTTGCCCATTGTGGGACAATAAAGGGATTTTCTATTCTATTCTATAAAAGGGTAGAAATATATAAGTAAATCTAAACAATGTATGTATAAAGATATATCTGCAAAATCTCTAATATTCAACAACAAAAAATACTTAGTTAAGCATGTTGTGCAAAAAAGCAATAAAAAATTAAACTCCTATCAGATTTATAGTCCCCACCCTGCAGATATATTAGAATCTGTCCTTAAATTCCAGCCAAACCCATTTACACAGTAACAGATTAAAACCTTTAAATAAATCAAACATTACCGCCACATATCTGACTCTATAACCATTAAAACAACTATTTTTATTCATTTCAGACGGAACTGATATAGGGGTTATTCTATTTTAGGCGAGTTTCTCCTGTCGGGGATTAATTAAGTGTCCGTCTGTCATGGAGTTTTAGATGTAAAGAGACAAAATGTTCTGCTTGTATTGGCGTCAGCATGGATGTCCGTCTGAATGATTTCTGTTAAACTCTTATATTTTGAACAGAAGTTTTGGTGAATTTATTCCATGTATGTGCAGAATTAACTGTTTGACCATGATTAGAGCTTAAATCACTCTTTCATTTATTGTTCTAACACACAGCTAGTAGGGCGTGTGTTCATAATCAATATATAACAGCTGAAATAATATCTAATTAAATAAGATATTTACCACCTGTTGTCGGAAAATTTAGATTTCTCTTCTATCATATTTTAATTTATCCTATTTACTCACTATAAAAGTTTTCACTCAGTCTGTTTCACCTTGAAGGCCGCACCATTCTCTGTAGGATGGTGTTTGTAGACCAGACGTAGGTTCTTCTATAACAAACAAAATTCTTTCTCAAGATTTATTCATAACATGTTACTGTTTAA